CATCCTATAAAAAGTCTGGTTCTAGGCAGTCTTGCATTCTAGAAATCAGTGTTCATTTCATTGCCTTTTAAGAATGTGATTACATTACATTGTAATGTAATGTGTAATCATCTATATAAATATGTTTTTATCCTGAAGATAATCATAACACTATAGGAACCATACAACTAAATTATGTGGAGGTGGATAGTCACGTATGGTTTTTATGTAAATTTTTCCATCTTTTCTTTTCATGTATTAAAATAAATACATAAGAACATTAGTTTATACAATAACTTTTGATATTTTTAATTTTATTAAATTTATTGGGTGACATTGGTTCATAAAATTATATAGGATTCAACTATACATTTCTATAACACATTATCTGTATGTTGAATTGTGTGTTCACCACCCAAAGTCAAAATATCTCAAATAATGTACTGGTAATGAGTGCTCACAATGTATTTTTCTGTTTTCTTTATTCAAATAAAGCTTCTTGAGGTCATGATGAATGCAGGGGAAACAGACAAATCTGAAAATGTAAGGAGAATGAAAACTAGAATCAACTAATTAGAAAAGATCATGGTTCTTCTCCCATGATTATTTGGTAGGATATTCTGATTAAAGAACACACCAATTATAATTACTTTTCTTCTTTTGCTGTATGTTATTAGATTGAAAGGAAGTCTGTCAAGTGGACTTTATATGTAAGTGTCTTGAATTTCATAAGACTATTTTTTGGCACTACATCACAAGAGAGTGCAATCTATTCACAATTGACCACACTGCTGCTTAAAATTAGGTGAAGTGATGTTTCCTTTCAGAGCATCTGTATACTCAAGCTTACTGTCTACATTATCTTATATCACAATGACAGTGGTGATAATAATTAATGCTGATTGAGCACAAACTATTTGCTTTCCTATGTGATCAGTATATCTTCTATTTTGTCTTTACACAAATCATAGAAACACTAAATCATTTGGTGGATCTGGAGTAAACAGGATGCTTGTTTAATCACATTTCAATTTTAAGAATACATAGTTCATTAAAGACAGCTTTCTGAAATGGCACTTTTGATTATAATCTTGCATTTACTTCTCTTTATGGTTGACATGGCATGTAGAAATTGAAGTAATGTCTCAAGCAGAGAAAAGCTGAATTACACTCAAAATGAATTAGTGCCTTTACATGCTTTGGTCTACAAGGGTTCATCATAGTCCAGTTGATTCTATAGAAATTTAGGTTGTTCTTTAAATAACACGTGCTGTTGTTTCACTGATTATGAACATAGGCAAGATGTGAAAAGGTAGTGGAATATTAAACATCGCACATTACTGAATATTTATTTTAGTTTCCATGCCAGTCTATGTCATGGTAATATTTACATAATAGACACTGAAAAAAAAACACCTAAACTCGTGAAGGACTAGAATCAAATTGAAGTTACTTAATGTTGATTTCAGCTGAATGTGTCTACATATAGGAAAAAAAATCATAAATCTCAATAAAGGAAAAAAAATTGAAAGAATATGAACTCTAGATGTAGAGAAAAGGTCTCTGATTTTAAACTATGTATTTTGCCCTGAAAGGTGGTGCGATAACCTAAACAATCCAGAATTTGCTATGGCTCACTGCCATGAGGGTTTCAAAAAGACTTTCTCTCAGTTTTAAAGCAATGTAAAGAGTCCCCGAGAGAGAGGAACTTCTAAAGAAATTGGAATGATGAGGCAAAGTTAAGTACATTTGAAAGCAATGGAAAACAGCTGCTAACCCATACTCTAGGAAAATATTACCTTCTTTTTTTTAGTGACATGATCCAGCCGTAACATTTTTTTTTTAAGTGCAGTTTGTTTCCAGAGTGATTTCAACAAAAACCAACTAAAGACTTCTTTAAGTTGTCTGTACCTTGGAACCAATAATTCTCCCTGAACTACTTTACTGAATTCAACCTATTTTTTATTAGATTAATATTTTCATTGTTTAGAATTATAATATAGAAAATCATATTTGTTATTTATAATTCAGGAAACAGAAACTGGTGAACAAAAAATAATATTTCCCTGTTCTTAAAATGACTATGATATTTAATATTAATGTAAATCAAAGAGCATATTTCTCCTATTTTATCCATTCATCTAAATTATCGATGCATTAACAAGTTAGCACACTTGGTAAGGTAGGTAGAAAAGTAGTTTTTCTTTTTATTCTGCTCCATCTGGATCTTAATTACCTAATTCTGGTTAAGGAGATTGAAAATACTAATATTAAATCTCTACTTACAGAAATAGGTAATTCTTTAGTTGAGTGCTTACACTGCCAATTATCATTCTAGGTATTTTAGATGAATTATTTAATTTCACCTTCACAATAACTCTTGGAAGATATATTATTGACCCCATCTTCAAAAACTGAGGCCGGTAATGTAAGGAACTCATTCTAGTTTGCACACCTAGTAAGTAAGTACTGTGGTGATACTAGTGTGCTTACCTATATAACTGGATGACTGTTTTATAGCTGTGGTATCTGTCTTCCTATAACTTCTTCCACTTGATGTGTAGCACTCCCTTATGTAGTTCCCATGCATTTTTAATTAAAAATTTTTAATGTCTTTTAGATGATCTTTCCATTGATTATTATCTGTATGCAATTGTCTTGGTTTAGACTCAGCTGGATTTTTTTTTTTTTTTAGTTTGCCTACCTACCTATACTTTGGTCTCCTTGTTAATAGAGTAGAATTATAGAGTTTATTTTGGAAGGAAAAGTAGGGGGCACATAGTCTATTTGATGAACAGCTCTCTTTAAACAGCCATTCAGCCAATACATGAGCATGATGCAGTGATACAGCTCCTGCGTCTGATAGTAGCCCTTTTCATCCTCACACAGCTCAGAGCACCTGAAATTCCAGCTTTGTATTGGCTCTCTGTAGGAATGACTCTTTACAATCATTTGGACACTGGTGAGAGAAATGACATTTACATCCAGATGTTATGTAAAAGATTCTCTCTTCTTTTTCTCTGGAGACTAATAGCTCTTATTTCAGATATGACTCACATAAATGAAACTCTTTCCCTTGATCTATTTCTCCCTTCCCTTCCTTCCTTCCTTCTCTTCTTTCCCGTTGTTTTCTTTTGGTGGGGGTGGGATGAAATAGTATTGTACTGTTTCTCATGAAGAAATCTGAAGAGCACCTTTTAACAGTTTGTTAACAATTCTTGTAATTTCATGTAGAAGATGGATACATTGATAGATGGAGAGATGGCTAGATAGACACAAAGATAGATACATAGATGCATAGACATTGAATTTAATATTATTGGCCTGGAAATATGGAAAAGAAACCATGTGAGTTAAGGATGATTTCCTGATATGAGCTAATTCTAGTAGATAAGTCACTTATATGAGTGAGTGTAATAATTGACAGTGTGATATAAGTTGTAAGAGTAACTGAAGCAAAATATTACAAAGAAATTACTTCTATGAGAATTTCTTAGAGGTTGCATTTTGAACTAGCTTGTAAGAGTGGATACTATTTTGTCAAGGTGCTATATAGCTGTAGAGGTCAAGAACAATGTCAGCAATGGCTAAAAAGTGGACGACTACAGAGAGTGTTTTCCTGCAGGATAGAGGACATGAGGAAGAGGACTGGGGTGGAGTCTAAACGCAGATGGTGGTCACCTGACCATTCCTGCCAAGTTAAAGTATTTGAATTTTGTCCTCTATTGAAATATATATTTCGGTAAGTTGGAGAAGGCAGTAGGAAAAATAGAAAAATCAAGGCAATTCATCAAATGGCTAATGTCCTGGAGACAGAGGGGGGAGTCACATTGCCGCTTCCTGTCCTTGGAAGACACATTCTCCATTTTATGGATGAAAGGGTTCTACTATGTGTGCACTGGAAAAATCTGATTCATTGATTCAGGACACTGGAGAATGTCTATCCCTGTGGTGGTTGGGATACACAGACACACACACACACACACACACACGGGTGCCAAAAAATGTATACACATTTTAGGAAAGGAAAAAAAAACTATTAAAATTGTAATACTCAATATATACCAAAAACAAAAGATGAAAACAAGTCATGTTTGACTTCTGCAATTACAAGAGGTGTTCAAAGTGGTTACCATCAGCATAATGTTAATACAATTTTTTCCTTTCTTAAAATGTGTATATATTTTTCTTGTCACATCTAGTATATATATATATATTTCGATTGAAGTAGATATTTAAAGAAAACCTCTTTGGTGATTATCAACAATTACCTTTCTCTGCAAAAGTGGACTTACAGTTAATGTTATTTTTATCTGAAAATATTTTTCTCACTTAAGGCATACGTCTAAAACTTCAGTATTTGCCCATTCACAGCAAAAGCCATTTGGAGAGCAATAACGAACTGAAAAATTGAGGTCAAATAGTAAAATTAATTCATGTTTTTATAAAAGCCTAACTCAACTTCTTTATATATGTCAGTTATAAAATATTACAAATAATTTAAATGATGGAGTAGATTTAATGGTCAAAAAGATATAGTGAAATGCTACATGCAACAAAAAGAGTCTTCAAACAACCTAGAATGTTAAACAATGTTTCCCACATTATCTCTGCTCGGTTGGCCCCTGTACTTATCTTTCTAGCTAATGATTTGGAGCAAATGAAGCTACTTAATCAAGTCTTTGTAAAATTACAGACATTTTATATGCAATGCTTACCATTGTAATTCATCACTAAATGCAAATATATTCCACTAGACCAGTTGTGTGGACAAGGCTTTCTCTCCCTTTCTTCTGTAGGAGTGTGTGGTCTTAAGAAAGATATGAGCAAACCAGTAACTCCCACTTCAATGAAATGTAAAAAAAGAAAAAAAAATGGCTCCTGTATATTTCTTAGTACCATGAAGAGAAACTACTGATTGGTAACTATAGCAGGCAGTAGACCAATCTCCATGTACCATTAGTATGTGCTCATGTAGAATCTCAGATTAACACCAAATGTCTTGCTTTGTTACCTTGCAGAAATGTTGGAATCCAACAATGTTATCACTTTCAATGGCTTGGCCAACAGCTCCAGTTATCATACCTTCCTTTTGGATGAGGAACGGAGCAGGCTGTATGTTGGAGCAAAGGATCACATATTTTCATTCAACCTGGTTAATATCAAGGATTTTCAAAAGGTATCTTTATTCTAATATATGCACTGTAGTTCTTTTGAAACATCTCAAGTTATATAGGATTTTCTAGCTATATAACAATGTGACAACTGAAACATTTTTTAAATTAATACTGTATATTTTCAGATGCAAATAAAAGTAATGTATTGATTTGACTATCACAAATCAATGGATTCAACATACCATAAAATTCTTCAAGGAAGAAACCATAGTATTTTCAATGATTGTATAAGCAATACTAACTTCAGCTTATCCTTCCAATAGTTATATCATTTTTCCTGCATAAAAGTAAAAACCTGAACCATTATAAAAATATATCATAATTGATTTCATGCCCTATGTGTGTATATATCTATGTATATACTATATGTGTTACATATACCTATATATAAATGTGTATATCTCTCCATATTTCCAGCAAATGCAGAGTTCATCAATCATTATACACATGCTTAACCTGGTATGTCAAATGTGTAAATACAGTTTATTGGAAAACAGACACTCAGTCATTTACATATTATCCGCTTTTATTCTACAATGGCAGAATTGAGTACTTGTGATAGAGATCACCTGGCTCACAAAGCCTAAAATATTTATGATCTGGACTTTTAAACAAAAAGTTTGCCAAACCCTAATCTGGAAGATAAATTTTCAGTGTCAGGTTTTGCAAATGCGGCCATTTAGATTCTAGCAGTCTAGCAGTTTTATCCTTATTCTTTATCGTGTTTCTGGCCTATTTAATTAATAAGCTATACAGTTTGGAAAACACGAATGGATTGACATATTTGTGAAAAGTGTGCTACTGACTCTATATGCTGTAATCTAAGTCAACCATTTTTTCAGTCAATTTTTCTAGTCTGAATTCTCTGAGGAACAAAGATCTTTTATTATTATTATTATTAGTAGTAGTAGTAGTAGTAATAGTAGTAGTAGTTTCAGGTATACAGAACAATGCAATAGTTATCCTTTTCACCCCTCACAAAGTAACAACCCCCCTCCCCCCATCCAATGTCCTCTTACCCCTGATATCATACTTATCTATTACAATTCCATTGGCTCCATTCCCACACTCTACTCCACATCCTGTGACTATATGTGTATATAATTGTAGTTGACATACAATATTATTCAACATGATCTTTATGCAAGAACATTTACAAAAGCGCCAGTATTACATGATTTTTAGAGTACACACACTTCAGTATTTATGTATGTTAGTTTCACTTCTTAAGACTTAGGGTTTTAAAGTAGTGTACCTCAAATTCTTATAAACTGTAACAGATTGGACAAAATGAAGAGAATTCATCCTTTACAAAATAAATGAAAATCTAAGATAATTAAGAAAAAAATTGATATTTTAATAATGGTATATTATGCTGGTCCAAATTTTGACTGTTTAAAATATGATTTTTATCATTTTGTAAAATTCATATATATGACTGTAAATATTTATATATATATATCTATATATCTATAGATAAGCAATATATGAGCACATGTCACTTCAGAATATATATTTAATGCATTTAATATTTTTCTCTGAATAAACATTCTTAATTTGGTTATATATTCAATTCGTTCTAAAATTGAAAATAATTAAATAATCACATAATACAATTTTATAGATGAGAAAAATTCTAGAGTCATTTGTATGTCCTGGATATATCACTGTATCTTCTACCAACTACACTTGTAATAAATATATACTGAATAATTAATTAAAATTAGGTGACTTGCCCAATGTCATGGTGTTCTTATTATAGCTCCTGCTTTTGAGTTTAAAATCATTATTCTAATAATAGAAGGCATATTTCTAATTTTTAAACATCCCAATTCAACCATATTATTTAATTTTAATTATACCACACCTTTATAAGAGTAAATGCAATTTACTTAAAGATTTACATTTGTTGGTATATATTTGTCTATTAATGCTCTTTTTAACCTATGTATAGTGTTATTAAACTTTTTCATAAGCATTTAATATTGTGATAAACTCTATAGGGGGTACTATAGTGTGTCATAATTCTTGAGGAATTTACCAAATATTTAAGATACATGAACATAAAGGCAAATCCTCGGCCAATTCTTGTTAGATCCAAAACACATTCTCAGGCTTGGAAGGACTATGGAAAGATTCTTGGCCTTGATAAAAGGGTACAATCACTTTAAAGCATAAATGCTTAGTAAATAATTAAGTGGGGCTGCCGTGTGTAGAACCATAGAAGCATAAAGAAGGGAAAGTATAAAATAGATCATGAAGCACGTTGAATATAAGGATAATAAATTTAGGCATTGTTAGCTAACTGAGAAATTTTTGAGCAAAGAAGAGAAAATATCAATAGGTTAATAAATCTAATCAAAAAGTTAGGAATTACTCTTCGTAGAAATGAATAATGGATACTGTTGGAGAAAACACACACACACACACACACACACACACATATGTTCATTCCACTGATTTATAATTATCCTCATTAAATTGCCTTCCGAAAGAGCATTTTCTATGTCAAAATTTATTTTACTCATGCCAGATTTTTAAGTTAAACATATATACTATATGTTTTATCCTGGATCTCTAGAAAATTGAAAGTACACACACCCCTCTAAGTATGAGAGAATTTAGCATGAATGTTATCAAAATTAGATTATTTTAATATTTCACATAAGAAAGAAATTACAAACTGAGGCCCATACTGTCTCAATACAATAATCATGATGTAGGAAACTATGAAAAAACAACCTGTAATACTCCATTGTATAAATGAACCACAATTTCTTAATTTAGTCATCTACCAATGGCATTCTGGTTGCTTCCATGTCTTGGCTATTGTGAATAGCGCTGCAATAAACATAGGGGTGCATATATTTTTTCATATTAGCATTTTGGGTTTCTCTGGATAGATACCTTGGCCATAAAGAAGAATGAAATCTTACTGTTTGCAATGATATGGATGGACCTAGAGAACATTATGCTAAGTGAAATAAATCAGACGGAGAAAGACAAATACCATATGATCTTGTTTATGAGTGGAATCTAAAAAACAGAATAAATAAGCAAACTAAGCAGAAAAAAAACAAACTGTCTTTTTAAATTAAATAATTGTTTTAATTATCTGTGATTTTTGTACAATCTAGCTGGAAAGCTGAATAATTTTAGCTCTGGCTATATATTAGTATTGTTGTGTCTCAGAGAAAACTTATATTTGACCCTCTTCCTTTGTAAACTTAAATAAGAACAAATCATTTGGCCATTCCATAGCCATTGTAACAATAGGGCTGTGGAATCTGTGGAAATAGTAATGAGGATTCAGGGCAATGATAACTGTAAGGACATGCATTTACTATTCTTGGATGTTTTTCACTATGTGACTACTTTGTAAAAAATGTGGAACAAGTCAAATAACAGTTTTAATTTATATACACAGGCATACATGAAAGGAAAGCACATGAAAAGAAAGAAATACATAAATTTGGAGCTTCAAACAGTAAAAATGATGCCTATCCAAAAATTATTAGGACTTTTATAATTGTGACATGGACCTGGAATGCATTTGCTATGTCATCATAGGTTATTTCAATATGTCCTAAATTCTTGTTTATAAATGTGTTGTATTTTGCTTTTTAATTCCGTAGATTGAATATCACAAACTTTGTCCAAGTTTATGGCCATTTTTGCTGAATTATCTAGATATTCCCAAATGAACAATAATCAATCATTTTGAGACCAAAAGCTTTTTAGCAGGCGGGAATGATTAACTGCCACCATCTCTGGATATTTCTTTTACATATAACATTTTTTTTTCTGAAATTAAGTAATGTTACTAAAAAAGAAAAATAAATTTTTAAAAAATTGTTCTGCCCCAGTACGGATAAGACTCATTGGAATTGTTGAGGGAAACTGTAAACTTTTATATTAAAATTTAGATGAGGGTATATGCATTAATATTATTGAAGGGAAATGTACCCACAATCCTCTAAGCCACAAGTAACACCTTGGTTTATCTTCTACTGTCACTGTGTTGATACAACATCAGAACCTTTGGAGGGATGAAGGCCAAATATTAGGAATGAAAATACAAACAATATTTCTCAATTAATCTGTTTTGCCTACTGTAGAGAGAGTGATTTTTTTTGAGTTATCGATTTGCTTCTTCATTTCTTCCTTTATCTCCAGAAAGTGAAATAAAGCTACTCCTATCTATTTTTCCTGTAGAAAAACAAAAGATTCCTTCCTAAAATGGGTTTTTCTAACCTTTCAGTTGCTCATTCTAGCATGTAGTGCTGAGATTTGGATGAAAGAAATGGATCCAGAGCACCCAAGGTTAAGATTTCAAAATCACTATAGTACAATAAAGACTGATCCATTTAGAAGGATGTAAGACATAGGCTGTGCCTACTTATACCCCTCTTCAGTAGATTCTCACATCCTCCCAAGATGACCTCCCTCTCCCAATCTGCCTTACATTTCTTTCCACTGCACGCTGCTTACTTAGATCTACAGGCATACCTCAGCGGTATTGCGGGATTGGCTCCAGACCTCTATAATAAAGCTACGATTGCAATAAAGCAAGTCAAAATCACTTTACCGGTGGAAGGTCTTGCCCTCAATTTGTACAAAACGCAACACCTGTGAAGCATAATGAAGTGAAGCTCAAGAAAACAAGACTACATGCATTTCAGTGTTGCTTAGCTTTCATCTACAGCAAAGCCTCATGGGTACATGGAGAGTGAATGATGTAAGTTTGTACCAATTAACTGATGACACTGCATAGTTTAAACTGAAAGGCTCCTTCCACCATAATACTTTATGAAACTTTCTGTATCTCAGGTGCCCCAAATAGGTGTAACAGATTATAATGTTTGATGTAGTAATAACAGAACTTAATTGGCATAAAACAATATTTCTTCTCTGCCCTTAGATTGTGTGGCCAGTGTCTTACACCAGAAGGGACGAATGCAAGTGGGCTGGGAAAGATATTCTGGTAAGTGTCAATCTATTAAATTGTTTTAGAAATTGCATGAAGTAATTGATTACTCTGCCGTTATGTTTGTTGTGTTATATTAGACACTGTGCTTCACTTGTGGACTTAATCACTCTTTAAAAACAAAATTGTATTTAATTTTGGATATTGACATTTTTATATAAAGCATTGACAGTATTACGTAAAGAAAATACGTCAAAATAGCATGCCTAAATAAAGCAAAAGTATGATCTCTTTGATGATTTATATATATGCAAAAGGTAACTAGATGGAATTTTGTAGCATATATACTTAAATTTAATAAGTCAAGTTCTGTTCGATGCCCGGCCCGAGCTGATGTGGCGGGATGGTCAGCTAAAAAAAAAATAAAAATAAAACTAAGTCAACTTCTTTGTAGAGATTGGTTTCAATATGTTAATTTCTCTTCAATTCCTTCTGAATGATAGGAAATTTTTCAACCTGAGTCATCATGATTAAATTACCCCTCCATCCTTCTTTCTATTCTTTTCCTTTTCCCTTCCTTCCTCTTTTCTTTTGTACCTTCCCCCTTTTCCTCCCTCCTTTTCTTCCTTCCTTGTATTGAGTACACAAAAATTTATTAACACAGAATGCCATATTTACCATTAACAAATTATGTTGAAATTTTTAATGTGATACTAAGGATGGATAGAAATGGAGGTATTGCCTACATATAGCTGTGACTTTTAAAACACAGACTTTCTCCCTTACTATTAAAGTTGAACAGGTGAAGACACACAAACTTATTCCTTAAATAAATATGGACTGAAAAATGACTGTGTTAACAGGCATTGTCCTGGGTACTGTGAAACAAAAGATGAATGGTAAGCAATTCCTACAATGGTTTTACCATTTTCGTAAAAAATAGAGGCCATTTTTCCTGAGGTAAACTTTGTCAGTAAACTTCAGTGGGCCACTGGTTTGAGGTATAGCTAGGTATCTGCAGGGATCATGGAAGGCAGTTATAATCATTTAAATCAATAAATTAAAATGAACTAAAGGATTTAAAATTTTAATTTGTATTATTTTATGTTCCGTCAGACATTTTTGGATGTCTAAAGCACAAATTAATAAGTTCAAAAGTTTTGTCTATATATTAGCATTTACAATAAATGTATCCTGTGTGCCTAAAGTCATAAATCAACCTGCATGTATGATGTAGATATATAGCTGTGTTCCAGCGAGAGCTTGATTGATTGGTAGCAGCTGCCTAAGATGATATACAGGCAGACCTCAGAGATACCACAGGTTCAGTTCCAGATCACTGCAAGAAAGCAAGTATCACAATAAAGAGAGCTGTAATATTTTTGCTGCTGGAGGGTCTTGCCTTCAATTTATTAAAAAAATGCAACATTTGAGAAGCACAATAAAGTAAGGTGCAATAAAATGAGGTATGTCTGTACATAGAATGATTTGGAGCTGGAATGAGTTCATGGAAAAAGAATGCCTCAATCGTAGTAATGTTGGCTACAGGTGAAGGAAGGTAGATAAAGGAGCACAAAGCACAGGTATCCCCTATCCTCAATTAATTACATATCAGCAAACATGGAAAATTCATCCTTGAAAATTTAATTTTAAATATAGTGATTGTAAGTCATATGACACCTTCATACTACAGTAAATGTTTTCTGGTTATATGAAATTAGACCAAAAGTAAATGTGTTCAATCAAGTTTTATACTATCCCCAATGGATGCATATCCTGGGACTGTTAGAAAGGGTAAAGAGAAAGAACAATGAAGTAGGAGTCCCCAGAAGTCAAGAATTACTCATTAATTGTACTTGAGCAAGTACCTTAACTTCTGGGGGACTTTCATATCTTACCCATTAAATGGGACATTACATATTTTACAATTGTGAGAAATAAGTTTAATAGTTTTTCTGAAAACTATTTAAAAGTAGAAAATACTTTGCAAATGTAAGGCAAAAAAATATAACTGAGTACACAAAAATTTATTAACATAAAATGCCATAGTTACCATTAAGAAATAAGGTTGAAAATGTTCAAAGTGATAATAGCTAAGGGTAGACAGAAATATTGCCTACATACAGCTGTGACTTTTAAAAGCACAGACTTTCTTCCTTCCTATTAAAGTTTAACAGGTAAAGACACACAGACTTATAATTATTGAAAATTTTTCCTGTGCCAAGTACTATGATCATTTAGATATGTAGTATTTTGTTAATATAGTTTTAACAATAACTTTATGAGGCATGTATCATTACCCCCATTTTCTTGATCAGGGTATATAATGATTCAGAATATTCATTCAAAATCTTTTCAAGCAATATTTTTGAAACATTTTGAGTGCAATCCTAGAAGCTGAGATCGAAATTTTTGTGCCTTCAATGAAGTTTTTGGTGTCCTGTGGCATATAAGGATTTGAACTTGCCTATTAACACACAGATAATACACAATTGTGATTTGAATAAATACCTTATCTATTCTGGTATTATTAAGGGTGTGGGTATAATAATAGCCAGCTCACAGCATTCCTGTAGAACTCCAGAAATAACAAGTGAAATTATTACATACACTATAATACACAATACAAATATTAACTATTATTATCGGTATATGTTGCTAAGACAGGTTTTAAGTGAAAATATCATTAAGGAAATTAGTGTGGCCCTATTTAATGGTCATGACCACTCTAGAGTTGCAGTGTTTTGAATTCAACTCAATTTAAAAATTGAATATAATAACCATACTTATCTGACAAATTATCTGGACTTTATAATAAATGGTGAACCCAATTACTGAGCGTATTTGATTTAATGATTGAATTAGGTCATTCAGTTCCTAAGATATCAGATATTCTTTCATGTTTGTGGTTTCCAAAATTCACCTCAGTGCATTTTTCATATTTTTTATGACTCTCCTCCCCTCCTCTCCACTCATTTCTCCTCCCCTTTCCTCTCTTCCCTCCCCCTCTACTCTCCCCTCCCCCTCTGCTTATCAATGCTGTATAGTGAGGGATCCACTGTTACCCCAGATGCAGTTAATTCAGCAGCTGCAATAAAGTCATGATCCCTGCAGTGCCTTATGGGTAACTCTAATCACCACCTCAGACATTGCCTCTCTAAGAAGAGCAACTTTATCATATTTTCTAGGTTTTCTAAAAATGTTTATGGGTTTTATAAAACTAAATTAAAAGGAATTAAGATGTAATTTCATAGCAACTTGTAATAAAGTCTCTGAAAACTTATAAATCATGGTTCATACATTACAGGTGAGATAGGTAATTATGTGTACATTGAGAGACATAAAGTTTTGAAAGTCTAATGGTATGACAATATTAGCTACACTCATCTTTTCAAAATTAACTAATTGATGTAATATGATGAAATGTCTGTGCTTTGGTTGTTCCTTTTTGTTCTGCATTAAATCAATTTGATTATTGTGGATGTTGATTTCTTTTTAACACTTACTTAATAGAAGGAAAACACAATAGAAGGAAAACACAATAGTTTCCATATATTTTAGTTCAGGAAAAAACTATATTTTTCCTCTTGCTCTAAATATAAAACACTAAAATATATTCAAATAGTAGAACATATTTCATATTATTTTTCTGGTAATCCATCTCATTCCTTTAATATTGCTTTTTATTGACCTATTATTTAAAATATATTTTATGCATTTGGAATTCATGTTATTGAAATTTATTTAATTTTTCAGGTAACCTCATTTATATACTTCAATTTACATATCTATTTCATTTAATAGGATATGTGGCATTTATTGATTATTTTTGGACTATTAATACATGGGTACCTTTTTTTCCATTTCTTTCTTAATGTATGATATTAGAATAGTAATTAGTTGGCTTCTTGGGATTTGTAACATTTCTTTCTTGATAAACATAATAAATAAATAAGTAGTGTTAGTATTTTTACCAATAATTTCTTAAATAACCACTTAGAAAGAAGGATTAAGTGTAAAAAGGTTTTTTATCATTTTTATTCAACACCTGATTTTTGAAGGGAAACACGGACAGTTAGTTTGATGGAAATTCTGCACTTTATCATAGTAAATAACAGTCAGCTGTCATTATGGACAATAATTCCTTTCAAAGAGCTCTTGTGATGCTGAAGACCACAAGAATGAGACTTGAGTGGCTTTTGGAGCCTTCAGAACTCCAAGATAGAATTGTAACCAAAAAAGGAACTGACCTGAGCATTTACAGAAAAATAAACTAACATCCTCCTTGAGTGCTCTCTCTGGTTTCTAGAACCTGAGTTTACCCTTTCTCTTCTGGCCTTTAGTGTTTTCTCTGAAAGCCCTCTGGAAATAAACCTTCTTTAAATAAACCATCTGGGGGAAGTGCTCTCTTCCCAGTATTAGATTCAGTTGCAAGGATACAATAGGAAAATACAATAGGAAAAGCAGGGTAAAGACACTGGCTAATTTTACGTTATCTTGAGAATTGGTTCTTAAGTCTGACTAAGATGGTTAAGATGGCACAGCCACCTGGGAAGTTAGGATATTCCACTGGATTGAACCTCTATAGATCCTGTGTCACTGAGTGTAACATCATACAGAAAATTGAACCCTTTCCCCATTTTCTTAGGCAGCTGAGAAGATGCAAACCATCATTTCTCATAGCTCAGTTTTGTATCAAAAACATTTGTTAAATCGGCAGCTGGAATTAAAGCAACTATTCTACAAAGATGGACTTTGTAGTAAGGGAATATGTAGCCTAAGACATTTATAATCCCTCTCACTCTCCCCCTCCCTTTCCCTATCCCTGTCTATCTATGTCTGTCATCTATCTATCTATCTATCTATCTATCTATCTATCTATCTATCTATCATCTATCTATCTATCTATCTATCATCTATCTACCTATCTAGAGAGCATATAAATGTAACTTTGGCAACTAATACTGACATTTCTGACAGAAATATTAATCTAAATTTATTTTTTTTTCCTCTTGGAGAAGTGATTATACAGGATATATAATATATGAATATGCTTT